AGCAGATTTTTTAATAGGCTGAACCAGAGTGAAATTGCATTCGTTTGCAGATCATTTCTTTGGTGGTCAGTTAGTTATGGAGAACCACAACACTCTTCTTGAAATAAATCAACAGAAAGGGAGAGCTTCAATAGCCTAAAGGCACTAGATCCCATAGTCGGCCCATAGAAGTTAAGAAGGGAGAGCCCAGGTTAGTACTTGGAGGAGAGATCGCCAATGAATACCAAGTATTATAGGATATATTCAGAGGAAGGAAGCATGATTGCATTGTTTTTACTTTGCTTATTGTATTTATATGTCTTATGTATTTTACTGTGTTGTTGTTTATGCTTTGGTTTTATCTTATTTTATAGTATGCTGTTGAGCTTGGCCTCATGTAAGCCGCCCTGAGAGATGGAGGTGGGGTATAAATAAGTATTATTATTGGGTTGTTGTAGGTTTTTCCAGGCTATATGGCCATGTTTTGGAGGCAGAATGCAAATCAAGGTGATCAGCTGAAACATTACCCTGGTCATTCCACAGATATATAAACCCATTTTTCCTACTTCCAACAGACCTCACTACCTCTGAGGATGCTTGCCATAGATGCAGGCGAAACGTCAGGAGAAAAATTGCCTCCAGAACATGGCCATATAGCCCGGAAAAACCTACAACAACCCAGTGATTCCCGGCCATGAAAGCCTTCGACAATATTATTATTATTATTATTATTATTATTATTATTATTTCCTTGCCTAAGAAAATCCTATGAGATTCATCAGTCCACAGGCAACTTAAAAACACAGAAAGAGTCTGTGTTACAAAAATATTCTTGCTCTTCCAAAACACACTCTCTGTAATTCACTGTTTTCCTTGTGGTTTTCCATTTGTCATCAAGAGTAGACAAAAGAGGAAAATTATCTCCTGCTTGCATCTCTTTCTATCCATACTTAGACAAGGGATAATGTTTTTTAAATAAGCATATATTAAACTACACAACGGAAGGATATAATTTAATACTATTATATTGTGCTTTCTGATACCCATGTATACAGATGGGCATTTCTAATACTGTTAAATGCTAACCCAGTTAGTAGTCCAGTTAAACCAAGGCTTAGCTAGGGTTTTTTTTTTCACCCACTGGTCCCATTTTTCAATGCACTTGCACTAAGTAAATCACGTTTACTTGGAATAAATCTGTTGTGTTTTCGAGAGGTCCCAAATATACAATGTTAGGTTGGGTTGCTGTGAGTTTTCTGGGCTGGATAGCCAGATTTTGTTCATTGTCATGGTCTCTTCCTTTCTGTTGAAACTGTCCACATGCTTGTGGATTTCAATGACTTCTCTGTGTAGTCAAACATGATGGTTGTTAGAGTGGCCCAGCATTTCTGTGTTCTCAAATATAGCAAGGGGACATTAAAAGTATCTAATTTTCCCCCTTTTGGGGGCTGGGATGAAAGTTTTTGCATTCTTAAACCTCCTCTACTAAATCCGTACTGGATGAAATATTCCAGACTCTAAAATTAGCGTATCTTGCATTGAATTCCAAATACTGAGACAAAACAGATATTTCTCTAAGGTAAATGACTTCAATCATAGGGAGCAGTCCCAAACAGATTCAAACAACTGATTCATTGGTTGACTGGTGAGTCAACAGATAGTTAAGTTACTCTAATAATAGGATGCAAGCCAGTGTTGGCTGCTATACTAAGAATATGCCTATATGATCCTTAAAGAACATGTCTATATTATCCTTGTGCATTTATTGTTTACAATTCTTATCTAATCTAATGTTATAATTCTTATTGTTAATTCTGTTTGCTGCTTGTATTGTTTCTTGTTGTCCTCTATTGATTGGTTATGTTATTAATTGTTTATCCTACTTTATGTAGTTTATTGTATTTTATTGTATTATTTATGTTGTGAAAAATCCCAGTCCCTTTGGGAGATGGGGCGGGATATAAATATTATTATTGTTATTGTTATTATTAAAAGAATGAGAGTAAAATAAAAACACAGCAATAAGTTTTTGGACAGTGAGGGGTTTGACTGAATTCACATTGGAAAAATTAAAAGAATTAAAAGAAACAGGATACAACTGAAAACTGAATTTATTATTATTATTATTATTATTAATTCAAATTTGAAAAATCAAAAGAAACATGATACAATTTAAAACTGAATTATTTATTATTATTATTATTATTATTATTATTATTATTATTAGGTTTCAGTGAATTCACATTTGAAAAATTAAAAGGAACATGGTACAATTGAAAACTGAATTATTATTATTATATTAGGTTTCAGTGAATTCACATTTGAAAAATCAAAAGGAAGAAACTGCCCACAAATCCTGCGCTGCAAGAGTTTGCTTTTCCTAATTCTTCTGATATTTGATAGCTTTAGTATACTCAGGAATTGAAGTTTTGTCTCTTTTGTAATAAGTCTTTACTTTTTGTGCATACAACTGAAAACTGAATTTATTATTATTATGTTTATTATTAGATTTCAAAGAATTCACATTTGAAAAGTTAAAAGTAACATGATACAATTGAAAAATGAATTATTATTATCATTATCAGGTTTCAGTGAATTCACATTTGGAAAATTAAAAGAAACATGATACAATTGAAATATGAATTCTTCTTCTTCTTATTATTATTATTACATTAATTCACATTTGAAAAATCAAAAGAAACATGATACAATTGAAAACTGAATCAATTATTATTATTATTATTATTATTATTATTATTATTATTATGTTTACTTTTAGGTTTCAGTGAATTCACATTTGAAAAATCAAAAGAAAGAAAACGTCCATAAATCCTGTACTGCAAGAGTTTGCCTTTCCTAATTCTTCTAATATTTGATAGCTTTAGTACACTCAGGAATGGAAGTTTTGTCTCTTTTGTAGTAAGTCTATACTTTTTGTACACACAATTGAAAACTGAGTTATTATTACTATTATTATTATTATATTTCAGTGAATTCATATTTGAAAAGTTAAAAGAAACATGATACAATTGAAAATTGAAATTATTATTATTATTATTATTATTATTATTATTAGGTTTCAGTGAATTCACATTTGAAAAAATTAAAAGAAACATGATACAATTGAAAAATGGATTTATTATTATTATTATTATTATTATTATTATTATTATTATGAATTTACATTTGGAAAATTAAAAGAAACATGATACAATTGAAAACTGAAATTATTATTATTATGTTTTTATTAAGTTTCAATGAATTCATATTTGAAAAATCAAAAGAAAGGAAATGCCTATAAATCCTGTACTGCAAGAGTTTGCCTTTCCTAGTTCTTCTAATATTTTCTAGCTTTAGTATACTCAGGAATTGAAGTTTTGTCTCTTTTTTTGTGCATACAATAGAAAAATGAATTATTATTATTATGTTTATTATTAGGTTTCAGTGAATTCACATTTGAAAAATCAAAAGAAACATGATACAGTTGAAAACTGAATTATTTATTATATTTATTATTATATTTATAATTAATAATATGTTGGTTTATTTTGTTTATGTTTATTTATGCCCCATTTTTATCTCTCCCTAAGGAGACTCAAAGCATAAAAAGTATAAAAGTATGAAAGCCACCTTTGGAAACCTATAGATTCCCCTGGAGTCCTCCTCTTTCTAACCTGGTTCTATTATTTGGATTCAAAGGGACCCTGCTTTATCTCTCCCGAAGGAGGCTCAAAGTATGAAAAGTATAGAAGTATGAAAAAGTATGAAAGCTGGCTATGGAAACAGATAGATAGATTGATAGATAGATAGATAGATAGATAGATAGATAGATAGATAGATAGATAGATTAGATGTAGATGGAGAGATAGAGAGATGGAGATGGAGATGGAGATAAATCTGTCAGGGCTGATTTGAATGCAATATTCCTGCTTCTTGGCAGGGGGTTGGACTGGATGGCCCATGAGGTCTCTTCCAACTCTTTGATTCTATGATAGAGATAGAGATAGAGATAGAAATAGAGATAGAGAGATAGAGATGGAGATGATACAGAGGGAGATGATGGAGATGGAGATGGAGATAGAGAGATAGAGAGTTAGAGATAGAGCGATGGAGATAGAGAGATGGAGATAGAGGGATGGAGATAGAGAGATAGAGATAAAGATAGAGAGATGGAGATAGAGAGATGGAGATAGAGGGATGGAGATAGAGAGATAGAGATAAAGATAGAGAGATGGAGATAGAGAGATGGAGATAGAGGGATGGAGATAGAGAGATAGAGATAAAGATAGAGAGATGGAGATAGATAGAGATAAAGATAGAGAGATGGAGATAGAGAGATGGAGATAGAGAAATGGAGATAGAGAGATGGAGATGGAGATAGAGAGATAGAGATAAAGATAGAGAGATGGAGATAGGGAGATGGAGATGGAGATAGACAGATAGAGAGTTAGAGATAGCGAGATGGAGATAGAGAAATGGAGATAGAGAGATGGAGAGGAGATAGAGAGATAGAGATAAAGATAGAGATAGAGATATAGAGATAGTGAGAGAGAGAGAGAGAGAGGTATGGAGATGGAGATGATAGAGATAGAGATAGATTTTTCCTTGATTCCTCCTGTTGCCATTTCTAACCAGGTTCTGCTCTTCGGATTCAGAATGAACTTCCCTCCCCCCCCCCCCCAGAGTATACCAAAATACGCCAAGAGGATATATATTAGCTACATTAGGAAAGGGAAGAGATACAATCCATAGCACCTGTCCCTATTAGGATGGTAAACAAAAAAGCGCTTTGAATGGAAGTGGCCAAATAGAGAGAGGAGCCTATGGCTGGATCAACACTGCATTCTGTGGTTAGTGTACAGCAGGCCTGGGCAAGCTTGGGACCTCCCTGCAGGGGTCTGCACTCCAACTCCCACCATTCCTAACAGCCTCAGGCCCTTTCCTTTCCCCCCTCAGCCGCTTAACCTCCCTGGAGGGAGGTCCCAAGCTTGCCCACGCGTGCCTGACGGGCTGGGACCGACCTGTTTTTGGCGGCGGCGGCCCGGTCCCTCTGTCTCCGGTTCTTGAACCAGTTCCCCACCTGGGTGGGGGTGAGGCCGGTGGCCTGGGCCAGCTCCCTCTTCTTGCCCGGGTTGGGGTAGGGGTCCTGCAGGTACCACTCTCGGAGCAGGTGCCGCGTGCGCTCCTTGAAGCAGTGGGTCTTCTGCTCCCCGTCCCAGATGGTGCGCGGGAGCGGGAACTTCTTCCGGACGCGGTACTTGTCCACGGGGCCCAGGGGCCTCCCGCGCAGCTTCTCGGCCTCCTGGTAGTGGGCCTCCAGCCAGAGCGCCTGCAGCTTGGCGTGCGACTCCTTGGGGAACTTGTGCGACTCCAGGATGTGGTAGAGCTCGCGGAAGTGGCCCCCGTGGAAGGCCACCACGGCGCGGGCCCGCAGCACGGACTCGTTGCGGCTGAGGGCCTCGCAGGCGGCGGGGGCCACGGGCAGCGACCACAGGAAGCGGCCCAGCCGCTCCACGTCGCCGCTCTCCTCCAGCGTCTCGCACACGCCGGCCACCTGCTGGGCGCTGAAGTTGAGCAGCGGCAGCTGGAACATCGTCGGGAGCTCGCCTCCTCGGACACCAAGGGGAAGAAGGGCAGGCAGGCAGGCAGGCAGGCAGGCTCGCCCCGCCGCGCCCCTCAAGACGAGCCCACGCCGCCTCTCATCGGGTGGCCAGGCGCCTGGAGGGTGCCCAGCCTCGCCTCTCTCTCGCCTTTCTTGCCTCTCCCACTTCCACCCGTGGCGGATACTTCTGCCCTCCTTTGGGAATCTTCCCCTTCTTCTTCTTCCTTTCCCCTCTGAATAGTCCTACTGCTTGGCAAGGAAGCGACTTCTTCTCTCCTTTTCCCCCTTCTACCTCCTTCCTCTCTTTCCTTCACTCTCCCTTTTCCCCCGCTGAATGCTCAACTGCTTGGCAAGGAAGCGACCTCTTCTCTCCTTCTCTCCTTTTTCTCCTTCTACCTCCTTCCTCTCTTTCCTTCACTCTCCCTTTTCCCCCCTGAATGCCCAACTGCTTGGCAAGGAAGCGACCTCTTCTCTCCCTTTCTTTCTTCTTTTTCCTTCCTTTCTTTCCCACTCTCTCCCCTTTTCCCCCGGAATGCCCAACTGCTTGGCAAAGAAGAGACCTCTTCTCCCTTCTCTCCCTTTCTCCCTCCTTCTCTCCCTTTCTCCCTTCCTTTCTTTCCTTCCTCCCCCCTTTCCCCCCTAAATGCCCAACTGTTTGGCAAGGAAGCGCCCTATTCTTTCCCTTTTTAAAATAAGGCTTTTCTTCTAAATAGTCCTACTGCTTGGCAAGGAAGCGACTTCTTCTCTCCTTTTCCCCCTTCTACCTCCTTCCTCTCTTTCCTTCACTCTCCCTTTTCCCCCCTGAATGCCCAACTGCTTGGCAAGGAAGCGACTCTTTCTCTTCTCTCCCTTTCTCCCTTCTTCTTTTCTCTTTCTTTTCTCTCCTTTTTTAAAAGCTTTTCTCCTGAATGCTCGACTACTTGGCAAGGAAGCGACTTCTTCTCTCCTTCTCTCCTTTTTCCCCTTCTACCTCCTTCCTCTCTTTCCTTCACTCTTCCTTCTTTTCCCCCTGAATGCCCAACTGCTTGGCAAGGAAGCGACCTCTTCTCTCCTTCTCTCCCTTTCCCCCTTCTTCTTCCTTTCTCTCTTTCCTTCTCTCTCCCTTTTTGAAACCACCCAACAGAGAATGGCCAACTGCTTAGCGAGGGTGCGACTTCTTCTTTCTTTCCCTCTCTCTCCCTTTTCGAAATGACCCTTTTCTCCTGAATGCTCAACTGCTTGGCAAGGAAGCGACCTCTTCTTTTCCCCTCCTTCCTTCTTCCTCTCTTTCCTTCTCTTTTTCCTCCGCCCTGAATGCTCAACTGCTTAGCAAAGAAGCGACCTCTCCTTCTCTCCTTTTCCCCCTTCTACCTCCTTTCTCTCGTTCCTTCTCCCTCCCTTTTTGGAATGACCCTTTCCCTCCCGTGCCCTCCCGTGCCCAATTGCTTAGCGACTTCTTCCCTCCTTCTTCCCCTACTTCCTTTCTCTCTTTTCCTTTCTCTCTCTCTTTTAAACCGCTCAACAGATGTGCCAACAGAGAATGCCCAACTGCTTGACAAGGAAGCGACCTCTCTGCTTCTCTCTTTTTTCCCCCTTCCTCCTTTCTGTCTTTCCTTCTCCCGCCCTTTTGGGAATCACCCTTTTCCACCGAATGCACTACTGCTTGGCAAGGAAGCGATTTCTCTCCTTCTTTCCTTTCCCCCCTTCTCCTTCCCCCCTTTCCTTCTCTCTCCCTTTGTGGAATGACCCTTTCCCCCTGAATGCCCAACTGCTTGGCAAGGAAGCGACTTCTCTTTTACCCCTTCTTCCTCCTTTCCTTCTCTCCCTCTTTTCGGAATGACCCCTTTCCTCCCGCGCCCTGAATGCTCAACTGCTTAGCAAGGAAGCGACTTCTTCTCTCTTTCCTTTCCCCTCTTCTTCCTTTCTCTCTTTCTTTCTCTCTCTCTCTTTTTTGGAATATCCCTTTTCCTCCTTAACTGCTTGGCAAGGAATCCACTCCTTCTCTCCTCCTTTCCTTCTCTCCTCTGTCTTCCAGGCTGAGTCGCTTCTTCTCCCAGAACGGATTTCAACACTGGCTACTAATTCTTCCTTCTTCTTCTCCTTCCTGCCCTTAGACTTGTCTTCTTTCAGGACCCGGGTGTGCAACTGCTTGGCGACTATTCCTCTCCTCTTTCATCCCTCTTCTTCCTTCTCAGCCTTTTTTTTGAAATGCTTCTTCCTTCCGCGCCCTGAATGCAAGGAAGCGACTACTTCTCTCCTTCTCTCCTCTGTCTTCGAAGCTGAGGCGCTGCTTCTTCTTCCAGAACGGGCGATTTCAATGACTTTTTAATTCTCCTTTCGTCTTCTCCTTCTCAGCCTTAAAAGCGCCTGGGTGTTCACTTCCTTGGCGACTGATTTCTCTCTCTTTGCACCAAAACCACATCCGCGTTCGCTTTTTCCTTGGCGAGAGCGCAAGGGTTCCCAATCTGTCCCTTCCTTGCAACCTCGAAGGCCAGTTGCTTTGCACGGTGGCGACTGAGTCTCCTCTAATTCTCTCCTCCTTTTCTCCTTTCTCTCCCTCTCACTTCTTCTTCGGCGCTTCAATGCCCGGCTGGTTTACGCTGCGGGCGAGGAATTCTTCCCTCTTTTCCTCAAAACCAGCTTCGCGCTCGCCTCTTTTTTTCAGTGCAGGGCGAGCGCAAAGCTCTTCCTCTCCTCTCCTCTCCTTTCTCTCTCTCTTCTTCCTCGGGGCCTCCGCCTCCTCTTCCTCCCTCGTTTGGGTGGAAAGCCTTCTTCCTCCGCCGCCACGGCTCTCCGAGGCGCAGGAAAAGAGAGGAAAGTGATGATGAAGAAGAAGGGAGGAAGAAGAGAAGACTGCGCCGCGCTCCGGTTTGTCGCCTCAAGTTTGGGAGGCGGGAGGAGGAAGAGGAGGAGGAGGAGGAGGGAGGACATGTGTGTTTGTGTGTGCGGAAAGGGGAGGAAGGGCAAGGGAAAGCCCTCGGCCGCCCAGCCCATTCTGCCCTCCCTTTGACGCACCCGCGGCTCCGGATTCGCTACTCCTGCCTAATCCTCCGCGTATTGGTCGCCCTCCGCTCCGTTTCCATGGCAGGGCTGCCTGCCCATCAGTGCCAGGGCCCTGCCAATCAAGTGGCTGCCAAGATGAGGCAGCCAGGGAAGCCGCGGTGGGCCTGTGGACGCGGAGCATCTCCAAACTCTGTCTTTTTCGGGGTTGGTTCATCCTCTTCAGATCCAAGTGTCCCAGTTCCTATCTCCCTCCCAAGACTGAGACCAGAAGGAGAGGGGAAGAGGGGGCTTTTGTTGGGTTTCATCCCTGAACTTGTGTCTCTTGTGTCATCAAGTTTCCAGTCCTCAATGAGTAGCTAGTCTAGAGACAGGGCSAAGCTGAGGGATTCCTTTCCCCATATTCCTATGTATGTTTCKCCCCCCCCCCCCCAAAAGGGGCTTTGTTTGTCCTCCTCCTGCTAGCCACTGTCTCCAGCCCTCTTTGATGATGTACCAATGGAATTTCCTTTTTTTTTAAGGCCATGTGGCCATTCACCATTTTTCCAGTCTCTTCTGCCTTCCTTTCTGAGGATGCACATTTTGCCTCTCTCTAGGCAAAATGTAGCTACGTGGAACCCCCCCCCCCCCCCTTAACCTCTTTGGAAGATAAGATTTAGTAAGTTAGACCTTTTCTATCAAGGATGTATTTCTTTTACTTCAATAAATATTTTTGAACCAAAAGTTCTGACTCTGCAACCCTAAACCATTCCGAAGAATAGAAGCTTATCCCAGCTCATTACACGTAAGTTTCTGCTGGTTATGAAGTTTACTTCTGTACTCAGCTATATTTATGGTGGAATCACCCCAACTGAGGGTTATTTTAAGCCTAACAACTCAGAACCCCCAACAAAAGGTTATGCGCCCCCACGCTTCCCCAACAGTTTATTTGGTGCCTCTTTGCAGGAGAGGCAGCGAAGCTGGGCAAACTTGGGCCCGCCATGTATTTTGGACTTCAACTCCCACAATTCCTAACAGCCTCAACACACCTGAAGAGCTCAAGTTTGCCCATGCTTGCTCTAAGATGCAGGGGCTGTTGGCACAAGTCAGGAGTTGGTGAGTCCTCCACCTTTAGAGCTGAAAGAAGCCTGGACGAATCACAGAATGGTCGAGTAGGGCTATCCAGTCCAACTCCTGTCACACAGGAAGGAAAATGCAACTCCATTTGCCTGGAATATCTCGTTGATGCTCTGGGAAGGAGCAGAGGCCATCCCTGAAGACTAAGCATCTCACAGGAGAAAGGAATCGCTCCCACAAGAGCCCAATCAACCCAGCAGTTGCTGCGAGTTTTCCGGGCTGTATGGCCATGTTCCAGATTGAAGCATTCTCTCCTGGCGTTTCACCCACATCTATGGCAGGCATCCTCAGAGTTTGTGAGGTATATTGGAAACTAGACAAGGGAAGTAGAAGGTACAAGGTAGGAGAAAGAACTCTTGTCTCTTGGAGGCAAGTGGGAATGGTGCAATTAATCACCTTGATTAGTTTTGCAAAGCCTTGCATCTTCAAGACCTGGCTGATTTCTCCCTGGGGGAATCCTTTGTTGGGAGGTGTTAGCTGGCCCTGATTGATTCTTCTCTGGTATTTCACGGCTTTTTGAGCGTTGCTCTTTATTTCCTGTCCTGATTTTAGAGTTTTTTCAATACTGGTAGCCAGATTTTGTTCATTTTCATGTTTTCCTCCTTTCTGTTGAAATTGTCCACATGCTTGTGGATTTCAATGGCTTCTCTGACATGGTGGTTGTGAGAGTGGTCCAGCGTTTCTGTGTTCTCAAGTAATATCCTGCGTCCAGGTTGGTTCATCAGGAGCTGTGCTATGGTTGACTTCTCAGCTTGAATTAGTCTGCAGTGCCTGTCATGTTCCTTGATTTGTGTTTGGGCAATGCTGCTGTGTTTGGTGGTCCCAATGTAGACTTGTCCACAGCTGCGTGGTATAGGGAAGACTCCTGCACAGCTGAGAGGATCCCTCTTGCTGAACAATAACATTTGTTGGATGTTCTTAGTGGGTCTGTAGATAGTTTATATGTTGTACTTCTTCCTCAACTTCCCTATGCATCAGTGGCTCCCTTGATATATGGTAAGAACACTTTTCCTCCGGGTGGGTCTTTTGTCTTTACTCTCCTGGCTTGTTCTTGGTCTTGAAGCTCTTCTGATGTCTCTGGTGGAGTCTCCATTGGCCTGTAGAGCCCAGTTTAGGTGGTTCAGTTCATCTTGGAGGAGCTGGGCTTTGCAGATTGTGCTTCTTTTTTGACTTGGGTGATGGTTGGAGTTTTCAGTGCCTTTTAATGTTGTCTTTATTCTCGTGGCTTGTTCTTGGGCTTGCAGCTCTTCTGATGTCTGTGGTGGAGTCTCCATTGACCTGTAGAGTCCACAATGGTTTGGGGTTAAAGGCTCATAGTTGGACTTGGGGAGGAAAGTGTGGAGCCGGACACCTAATTGGGAGGGAGAACAAATACTCCAGAAGACCGGAGCAAAATTCAAAACGATCTTAAATGAAGTTCAACGGGGACAAATACAAGATACTCCGCTTAGACAGAAAAAAAAATGAAATGCAAAGATACAGAATGGGGGACGCCTGGCTCAAGAGCAGTATGTGTGAAAAATATCTTGGAGTCGTCGTGGACAACAAGTTAAACATGAGCCAACAATGTCATGCGGTGGCAAAAAAAGCCAAAGGGATTTTGGCCTGCATCAATAGGAGTCTAGTGTCTAGATGCAGGGAAGTCGTGCTCCCCATGCTCTATTCTGCCTTGGTTAGACCACACCTGGAATATTGTGTCCAGTTCTGGGCACCACAATTCAAGAGAGATATTGACAAGCTGGAATGTGTCCAGAGGAGGGCGACTAAAATAATCAAGGGTCTGGAGAACAAGCCCTATGAGGAATGGTTTAAAGAGCTGGGCATGTTTAGCCTGAAGAAGAGAAGGCTGAGAGGAGATATGATAGCCATGTATAAATATGTGAGGGAAAGTCACAGGGAGGAGGGAGCAAGCTTGTTTTCTGCTGCCCTGGAGACTAGGATGTGGAACAATGGCTTCAAACTACAAGAAAGGAGATTCCATCTGAACATTAGGAAGAACTTCCTGACTGTGAGAGCTGTTCAGCAGTGGAACTCTCTGCCTCGGAGTGTAGTGGAGGCTCCTTCTGTGGAAGCTTTTAAACAGAGGCTGGATGACCATCTGTCGGGGTGCTTTGAATGCAATTTTCCTGCTGCTTGGAACAGGCATGTAGCGGGGGAGGGGGGGCTTTGGGGGCTTCAGCCCCCCCCCCCCCCGAAATTCTCATGGTGGTCTGCGAAAAGGCCTTACTGGTACATTATTTAAACTGTTATGTTTATTCATATCATGATCTGATCACCATGCTCAATATATCCCATATGCATGGGGGTATTGGGGTAACGATACAAAAGGTTTGATAGGGTAGACCCTCTTTCACTCAGACTCAGCCCCCCCCCCCCTAATCAAAATCCTGGCTACGGGCCTGGCTTGGAAGAATGGGGTTGGACTGGATGGCCCATGAGGTCTCTTCCAACTCTAGGATTCTATGATTCTAGGAATTGGCCGCCTGCAAGGACGCTGCTGGATGTTTTGATGTTTTAGCATCCTTGTTGGAGGCTTCTCTCATGTCCCCCCCATGGGGAGCTGGAGCAGACAGAAGGAGCTCACCCCCGCTCTCCCCGGATTAGAACCTCCGACCTGTTAGTCTTCAGTTCTGCGGGCACAAGGGTTTAATCCATTGCGCCACTGGGCTGATGGGACTTGTAATCCCCCTCCGAGCGGGCTAACTTGGGGAAGAGAGGTATACACACACAAAGGCTCATAGTTGGACCATGAGGAAGAGAGGGTTGCCTTTAAATCCGGGGAAGGCCATGCCCAGGGCCAGCAGCGCCCCTTCCTTTCCTTTCCTTTCCCGCCTCCTTCTCCCATCCCCTTCCCTCTCCCCTTGCCTTTCCCCTTCCCCCGCCTTGTAACCCTCATTGTTTTCGCTTGAGCAGCCTTGATATAAACACCCAGGGAGAGAGAGAGAGAAAAAAAAGAAGCCGTGGAAGAAGTGAGAAGTCACGGGTAGGTCAAGAGAAGCAACTTAAAGGAATCTTTTTGCATTATTGATCAGCTCCCGGCCATAATTTCTGACCCTCCTTCCCTCCCTCCTTTCCTCCCCAAATATGCCTCTATTCCTCCCTCCAGATTGCATTTCCAGACCATTGGCGGAAAACTAAAGCAGGAATTAAATTAGGCTTTCATGCTAGGCTCTGAGACTATCGTTTCCTATTTCCCCAATGCTCTTTGCAATTATCATCGCTCCCAAGACAGATCTGGGGGAATATATATATATATTCCTATCTAGTCCTCCCTTGCCACGCGTTGCTGTGGCCTAGTCTATGTACATGTGTGTATATATGTGTTTATATATTTGTGTATATGTGGTTTTGTGTTGCAATGTATTTTTTTGTATTTTTTGCATTTGAAGCCTCTTTTCCTGTGTTTTTCAGTGTTTTTATGAGTGATGATCACTCCTTGGCTTGAGAGGTGTATTGTGTCCAAATTTGGTGTCACTTCGCCCAGTGGTTTCTGAGTTATGCTAATTCCACAAACTAACATTGCATTTTTATTTACATACAAGCTCAGTAGCTCAATGGTTTAACCCACTGGGTGTGTGTGTGTGTAACACAAACATTAAACACACACACATATATATACATACACGTGTGTGTGTGTGTGTATTCTAGCAGTCGGTGTATATGTGTTTTGTGTGTGTATATAGGTGTTTCTATATTTCTGTATATGTGTGTTTGCATATATGCATGTGTGGTTTTTGCATGCGTTGTAATTTTTTTATTTTTTGGCTTTTTAAGCCTCTTTTGCTGTGTTTTCCAGTGTTTTTATGAGTGATTGTCACTTGGTGGCCTGATAGGTGTCTTGTGTCCAAATTTGGTGTCAATTCGCCCAGTGGTTTTTGAGTTATGCTATCCCACAAACGAACATTACATTTTTATTTATATAGACTAGCCATCCCCTGCCTGTGTATATGTGCTTTGTGTGTGTATATATGTGTGTGTATATTTGTGTATATGTGTATATACATGTGTTTGCATATGCATTGCAATGGATTTTTTATTTTGGGGCTTTTAAAGTTTCTTCTGCAGTGTTTTTATGAGTGATGGTCACTCATTGGCCTGATAGATGTCTTGTGTCCAAATATGGTGTCAATTCACCCAGTGGTTTTTGAGTTATTCTAATCCCACAAACGAACATTACATTTTCATTTACATAGAAGATATAAGACTCTAAGGGTCCTTCCACACAGCCCTAGATCCCAGAATATCAAGGCAGAAAATCCCACATTATCTGAGTGTGGACTCAGATCAAAGCCGATATTCTGGGAATCACTCAGTGTTTCTCATCCTTCCTAATGCCGGGACCCCTTAATACAGTTCCTCATGTTGTGGTGACCCCCAACCATAATATTATTTTTGTTGCTACTTCATAACTGTAATTTTGCTACTGTTATGAATTGTAATATAAATATCTGATATGCAGGATGTATTTTCATTCACTGGATCAAATTTGGTACAATTACTCCATACGCCCAAATTTGAATACTGGTGGGGGGATTGATTTTGTCACTTGGGAGTTGTAGTTGCTGGGATTTATACTTAATCAACAATCAAAGGGCATTCTGAACTCCACCAATGATGGAATTGAACCAATCTTGGCACACAGAACTCCCATGACCAACAAAATATACTGGAAAGGTTTGGTGGGCATTGACCTTGAGTTTTGGAGTTGTAGTTCACCTACACACAGAGAGCACTGTGGACTGAAACAATGATGGATCTGGACCAAACTTGACATGAATACTCAATATGCCCAAACGTACCTTGACGTTTGCGAGTTGTAGCTGCGGGATTTATAGTTCACATAAAATCAAAGAGCATTCTGAACTCCACCAACGATGGAACTGAACCAATCTTAGCACACAGAACTCTCATGACCAACAGAAAATCCTGGAAGAGTTTGGTGGGCATTGACCTTGAGTTTTGGAGTTGTAGTTCACCTACAAACAGAGAGCACTGTGGACTGAAACAATGATGGATCTGGACCAAACTTGACATGAATACTCAATATACCCAAATGTGAACATTGTTGGAGTTTGTGGAAAATAGACTTTGACATTTGGGTTCCTGGGATTTCATAGAATCATAGAATCATAGAGTTGGAAGAGACCTCATGGGCCATCCAGTCCAACCCCTTGCCAAGAAGCAGGAATATTGCATTCAAATCACCCCTGACAGATGGCCATCCAGCCTCTGTTTAAAAGCTTCCAAAGAAGGAGCCTCCACCACACTCCGGGCAGAGAGTTCCACTGCTGAACGGCTCCCACAGTCAGGAAGTTCTTCCTCATGTTCAGATGGATTCTCTTTTCTTGTAACAATGATACCATTGGGCCAAACTTCCCAGAAGAAAACATTCCTACAGAGATTGGGTTGTTGTAGGTTTTTTGGGCTATATGGCCATGTTCTAGAAGCATTATCTCCTGATGTTTCGCCTGCATCTATGGCAAGCACCTCTGAGGATGCTTGCCATAGATGCAGGTGAAACGTCAGGAGAAATGCTTCTAAAACATGGTCATATAGCCCGAAAAACCTACAACAACACAGTGATTCCAGCCATGAAAGCCTTCGACAATACAGAAAATACTGTGTTTGTATTGTCGAAGGCTTTCATGGCTGGAATCACTAGGTTCTTGTGGGTTTTTTCGGGCTATAAAGCCATGTTCTAGAGGCATTTCTCCTGACGTTTCGCCTGCATCTATGGCAAGCATCCTCAGAAGTAGTGAGGTCTCACTACCTCTGAGGATGCTTGCCATAGATGCAGGCGAAACGTCAGGAGAAATGCCTCTAGAACATGGCTCTATAGCCCGAAAAAACCCACAAGAACCTAATACTGTGTTTCCTGATGGTCTTTGGCGACCCCTCTGACGCCCTCTCACGACCTCCCAAGGGGTCCCGACCCCTAGGTTGAGAAATACTGCTCTAAGCGTTTTTGGGAAGGTTTACAATGCCTCATTTTGTCCCATGAAGTGAAACAAAACCATATTGCATTGGTAAACTATATTTCTCCCTCTCTCTTTCTAGGGAGAAGGGAAGGGAAGAGAGAGCGAAAGGAAGGAAAGAAGGGAGGGAGGGAGGAAGACTTGCACTGCCTTTTCTTTAGTATCAAGTACACTGTGACTTTTTCTCGGGAAGATCTGGTAAATCAGACGGCGGATACATAGCGCAGATGGTTTGGAGGTGTCGGGTCAGATTAAGGCACGCCTGGCTACGCCTCCGAGTTCAGTCTGACGGAAAACCCTGATATTATTTTCACAGATCTACACAGTTCACTTGAAGAAAGAGAGGGGGAGAGGGAGAGAGAGGAAAGAAAAACCCTCCGAGCCATTTTCATCATTTATGCCAGGCTTGCAGCTAGCGGGATGGAAACCCTTTCAATATTGCTCATTTTCATAAAAACCGACAGCAGAGCTGGAGAAGAAGAAGAAGAAGAGGGAGAGAAAAAAGACGTGCCTGTGTGTAGAAACTGGAGTCAATGGGGAAACTCAGGAAATAGAGATTTTATTCTTTAAGGATGCTTTGGAGGCAGAAAAGCACTGGATGAGCTCGCTTCCTTCTTCCTTCTCCACTGGGTTTGGGAATGAGCGGGATGGCATGGTTTTAGGATGGACCAGGATGGATCTGGAAGCCCACTGGCTTGCCCTGGGCAAGTCACACTCTCTCAGCTTCCCAGGAAGCCAGCGGCAAACGCTGCCTGGACACATCTTGTCAAGAAAGCCCTCGGACAAAGTCCTCATTAGGCAACGTTTGGATTAAATTGTCTCCCGCGACGCCTTGTGTAGATGGATAGAAACAGAAAAAGAAAAGCCCTTCGGAAGGTTTGGCGACATTTGAGGAAGGACCGAAGTCACAACGCTCTCTGGAAATGCAACAGATTTGTTGGGCCATTCAAAAAGGCTTCCTCTTGCCTCGAGTTCCTTGAGAAGGGTTTTATATCCATGCAATAAGTCATAAATAGACTTATTTCATAAGCAGGTGGAGAGTTCCTCAGTAGATAACAGGGAGACCAGTCTAGGGGATACTTAGGAGATATGAGTGAATATGGCATACTGGTTTGAGTGTTGGGATTGAACAGGCAATTCGTAACAGTATTGTTCGAAGGCTTTCATGGCCGGAATCTCAACAAAAGATTGCCCCAGGCACTGCCAGGCCATCAAATGCTAATCAAGGTGGTCAGTTGAAACATTCACACCTAGTTCCAGCAGACAAGAGTCCTTTGTCCCACCCTGGTCATTCCAAAGATATATAAACCAACTTTCCTCGTTCCAACAGACCTCACTACCTCTGGGGATGCTTGCTATAGATTCAAAATGCAGGCGAAACGTCAGGAGAGAATGCCTCTAGAACATGGCCATATAGCCCGAAAAAACCCACAACAACCCAATTCGTAACAGCCTGCTGGCTGTTAGGAATTGCGGGAGTTGAAGTCCAAAACACCCAGAGGGCCCACGTTTGCCCAGGTCTGTTCTAGAAACTCTTAACCCCAATAGAATTTGAAGCACGATTGGGAAGCACGATTGGGAACTGTTATCCCCACTTACACGAGAACACTCATCATAAAAGTCTCTGTATTGGACCTGTGGGCAAGGCAACCCAAAGGTTGGCTGCAGTCCTATATTCCCTGGTTGTATATCTATATACATGTGTGTGCCTTCAAGTGAGTGCCTTCAAGTCGCCTGTTGATTTATGGAGAACCCATGAATGATAGAGAAATGATAATTATCTCCTGCGTGAAACGTCAGGAGAGAATGCTTCTGGAACAACCCGGAAAACTCACAGCAACCCAGTGATTCCAGCCACGAAAGCCTTCGACAACATACAGAGAAATACTCAGAGGTGATTTTGGCAACCCTTTCCTCTGAAATCCAGCTTACAGTATCTGGCATTTTTAGCAGCCTTGGCTTTGAAATTAGAGGACTTATTTATTTATCATGTCAGAAGCGAACCGAG